TATATCTAAACCTGTGATTCTGAATGTCACGAGCATTAACAATTTCCAGAGATCAAACCACCACAATGAAATGAAAATCATATCACACGTTTAGACATCTGCCTAGGGTTATGAAGAAATGTTGCCAGTGTTTCATTTATGGTCCAAATAAGATGTCTTGACATGATAAAACAGCTTATAGGGGATTCTCAAACCCTCACAAGAGAGCTTGCCTCTAATGCAAGAGTGAGACAACAAACTTTTTTTTCCTGTTCTGTTTTGAGCAATGTGCACATACATAATATCTATAGCATGTTTTCCATTTACAAAGATAAGACTGATTGTTCACAAAGAAAGAAACAACCCATCTATGATTTCTACTTTGTGAAGGTCCAAACAATAAGTCAGAAGTTATCTTAGTCAGCATGCTGCATAATGCTGGCAAGGCATAGTGCTCCACATATATAATTTGCTCTTCGCTCTTTGTTGAGTGAACAGAGATCATGGAAATCACCCATTAATATCAACAGTGTTTCCACTTGCATAAGGAGCTTCTCAAGTGTCAAACCACTGATGCAGTGGATTGTTGTGCAGGTGGACTGATGGAAGAACAATCTGCCCTGTAGCTGAAAATCTCTTAGATGTGAAGAAATTAGCCAAGATCAATGTTGCAAATGCAAAAATTCTGATACTGGCAAAAAAAAACCTTGATTTTTTGTCAATGTTCTTTCTGTTTTACTGAAGCAGAAATGTATTATTTACGTTTCAGTTTCCTCTTTATTCTTCCAAGTGGATCCCTAGATGTCTACCTCAGAGTCCTCCACAGAGAGAAGTTCCCATTTTTCCACTTAGTTATCTTTTTTTCCACACTCCATCCCCAGCTCTCAACCCAACCACTTAATCACTCTTCTCCCTTGGCTATCACAGGAGAACAGAAGTTCTATCAAACTGCTGCAGGGGGAACCTGGGAACTGATGGTACATTTCTTAGATGAAGAAGGTCCTGCAGGCAGGACCCGTATTATTTTACTGATTGTAAGGCATTATTTTATTGATTGTATGTAAGCCAAGTTGAAATCAAATTCAATGGCCAAAATCCTCTAGTAAAATGTATATTGCAATATATATATTCACAGTGTTCTGGTTCTCATGCACCTGGGAGTGCACACAGATGAGCAACAGGGTGCATGACAAACATCTGGAAAGGTCACAGATATTTTCCAGTATACATTAAATAAATTTAATAGGATTCTGACTATTAGGTGTTATGAATCTTGTTGATCAATTTTGGGTCTTACCGTGCACAGCTTTGAAGCTGATGCAGTTTGAAGCAGGGGTATTCCAAGAGATAGAGTTATAAAAGAAAAAAGCTTCATACTTTGAAAGTCTGGTGCATGTCATCTTGTAGATTCAAAAGTAGAAGTCTTCTACATTCAGAAGTCTTATAGACTCTGGAGTAGAGATGGGCACGAAATGAACCACGAAGCAAGAAACAAACCATGAAATGGCCTAGTTCATGGTTTGTTCGTCTGTTTGTTTGTTTGTCTGTTTGTTTGTCAATCCATGAAATGGCCTATTTCATGGTTTGTTTGTTTGTTTGTCTGTTTTTTAATTTGTTCCACCCAATTAGTGGCAGAGCTACTACTCAGGGGGGCAAATAAATCAGAATAACACAAACAACCCCAATAATGCCCACACAATCGATAAACGTGAGACATACCGTATTTTTCGCACCATAAGATGCCCACACAATTGATAAACGTGAGACATAATATGAAACAAAAGATAAAATAACTAGTAAAAAATACAGACTAAAAATATTTAAAATATTTAAAATATTAAATACAAGAAAGGCAGCAAAAACAGGCCAGGTACATAAACAAGGAGGAGGAAAAGCCTCTTCAAACAGTAAGATTAGTCTGGGGTATGAAACAAAAGATAAAATACCAAGTAAAAAATACAGACTAAAATTTTTTTTAAATATTTAAAATATTAAATACAAGAAAGGCAGCAAAAACAGGCCAGGTACATAAACAAGGAGGAGGAAAAGCCTCTTCAAACAGTAAGATTAGTCTGGGGTAAGGCCAAAGAAGGCTTGCAAGAAAAACCAAGTCTTAACTTGTCTCCTGAAACCAAGGAGGGAAGGGACTAATTGTACCTCAGGTAGGAGCGAGTTCCAAAGTGATGGAGTGATAACCAAGAAGGCCTGGTTTCAAATGACATATTTTTGGGCCTCCCTCAAGGTTGGTACCCACAACAACCCAGTGTATGAGGTATGAGTGGGATGGGTAGATGTTTTGAGGGCGAGGTGCTCAGACAGGTAGCAAGGCCTTAAACCGTTAAGGACTTTAAATGTTAACATAAGCACTTTGAACTTGGCATGGAACCATAAGCAGTCAGTGCAGACATGCCAGGACAGGTGAAATACAATTGAACTGTGATGTTCCAGAAACCAGCCTGGCTGCTGCATTCTGCACTTGCTGTGGCTTCTAAACTACCTTCAAAAGCAGCCCAATGTAGAGAGCATTGCAATAGTCTATTCTCAAGATTACAAGCACATTATCGACATTTAAGGGCACCTCAGGGAAATGTTCCTGTCCAGAATGAAAAGAAACAAGCTATTATTGGCATTGGTGATTCGTACATGGGCCATAACTCAGGCATCTCAAATCCAATTTTTGGGAAACTTGGACTGATTCTCCTCCCCACCCCCTCTGAGTTTGGTGACAAACCACAAGCCATCACAAACTGCCATATTCCTGGTTCCTGACCATCTCTACTCAGGCGTCTGCTGAAGCTGTAGAGACTTTCAAGTGGCTTATCACAACAGGATTTACTCATTTAGCAATTTTCTATGATTCCTTCGATCATTAGCCATGTCAACTGAAATAATGGTTTGTAAGAATGTGTCCTGGTCTTGTTCATGAGAGATCTTGATGACTACACTCAGACAGTACAGTGATATGTTGAATTATAACTCCCTATGACCATAGCCCATATGGTAATTCTGTGCTGGCTGGGCTTGATGGGCAATGTAATTTAACATATTGGAGGACATCTAGCTGGGAGAGGCCACTCTGGAGAAATCCTGGCAGCTGCTGTCAGAATCCAATGTGGGTATATCTGTGTGCATTACAGTATTCACAATACTTTTTCTTGGGGGGGGGGTGTGTTAGCATAATCCATGCACGCAATGTGTGGCACATATTATGAACCACTACAACAATTAGCATCTGTTTGTGTACATTAAATAATAAAGACATTTAGGATTCCAGGAGGGGAGGGAAGCACTCTTCCTTGCTCCCTCTCCTCCAGAGATACCCATGGTGTGTATTTACAAAACTTTTGGCAGTGCACTTCTACAGTGTCATAACTGTGGTACTGTGGAGGCTAAGACTTTGTTGTTGATGATTATGATTATGAAAACAGCTGGAAAGTAAATTGTGCAGGTTTATGCCAGAAGACTGGATTAGGTGGCATTGTGGTTAGGGTAAAGATCCAACTATTGTGTATCTGCAAAAGAATCGTGCAAAGATGGAATTTTGATTCTGTTTTCACTATAGTGGATTTCCCTGTGGAGGACAAAATCCAAAATGGTCTAGTTTTAAAAGTGGCTTTTTAGCAGAATATTGTCCTGGGAACTGGGAATTTCATGCTTCTAGTCCCCAAGAAGTGCAAAATTCACTGGGTGACCTTGGGCCAGACAATTTCCCTGACCTAGCTCACACATTGTTCGTATGATAATAAAAGGAGAGTGAAGGAGGGTTATGTATGGTGTCTTGAGCTAATGAGATGGAAGGCAGGCTATGAATAAATCTAATACTGATACAAATATAAATAGATTCCTGGCCAATGGCAAGTTAGCACCGTCATCCAAAAAGTTACCCATTTACCTAAAGTTACCTAAAGTCTTTTCCTTCTAATTTGTTTCTCACTTTCATCTTAACAGTTCTCAGCATCTGCTGTATATGACATTATAAGTGTATGGGAGCAACAAGAGCCTACAAAGCAACAGAAGGTGACCCAGATTACAAAGCACCGGACGCTAATGCCAAGTCTCCTTGTTGCATGGCAGCTGCTGGAAGCTTGTTTGATTAAGATTCAGACTCATTGGGCACAATTTATACAGTCTCCCCAGTCAAACACACATGCGTGCATATTCTAACTTAGTTGTGAACCCTGCTGAATAAATTTCTCCTCATAAACATACACACCAACCAGCTGAGCCCAATTTATGTTTTCTGTGTTATACCTACTGTCATCCATCTGTCAAAATAATGAAAGAAGCCCATGTTGAAAGCTTTTTTTATATGTCTCTGTAAAGTGAATAATTTTTTTCTCTTAAAAAATCAGTTTCACAAATTCACTTTCTAGTTTTATAGGGTCATATAGGTAAAATGAAGCACACTTTGTTATATGTCTCTGTAAAGTGAATATATATTTTTTTCTCTTAAAAAATCAGTTTCACAAATTCACTTTCTAGTTTTATAGGGTCATATAGGTAAAATGAAGCACACTTTGTTATTTGTTGAAGCTTATTTTTTTTTAGTACAACCTCCCCCATTCAAGACTTTTATGACATTGTTGTAAGACTCTTTTAAAATGCTAGATCTAAGAAGGATACTTGCCAAAACAGATGGAATAAGCAAATTAATAAGTTGCAATGGATGACCAAAAAAAAGTTATCTGTAGTTTCTAACATGTTGAGCCTTAGGAGAGTCCAGATGTGATCTTAAAAGCAGCAAGAATGTTTGACAGGGACTTAGTGCTTTTCAGTAGCCAGCATCCAAATAACAATCCATTCATTCACTCACTCACTGGGGGGAAAAGCCTCTTGTTTTACTAAGCATCTTGAACTCCCATGACCTCAAAACCATCTGTTCTGTGGTTTTCAGTAACTTCGGAACTAACCCATTCTTTCTATTCCCCCGCCCCTTCAAGCTAGTCTACCAGGAGTACTGACTTATATGCTTAGAGAGAAGAGTTACAAAATGACATAAGAAAGAGAGAGGAAATGCTTACTTTTTAAGTGGATGAGCAGCAAGACACTGAGGTAGAAGATGAGGAGAGAGTTAGTTCTAGATGCAGCCATATCATTCGTCTTGATGAACCATCCTCCTTGAAAGTTGTCAGTTACCCAGGGGAGATGGGGTGGGTGTTTATTGCTTCTTACTCCTATCCTGAGCCCAAGGTGACAGTCAAGGCACAGAGTCCACCGCATGCCATCTCTGCCTCTGCCTCTTGCCAGCATGCACGGCAGACCTGCAGAGTTCAATTTAAAAAGCATTTGTGCTTGGTAAGATTTTACTCCAGCCGTACTGGGTGACATCTTAAATCTGGTGCAGATTTCTCTGCTGTGTGGACTGGAGTCTCTCTTGTCTCCCTTGGTCTGATGGAGAATTGTGCCAAGGGAGGGAGGTGGTGCCCTCACACTCTGCCAGGAGCAATCTTTTTCAGGCTTTCTTTTCCTCATGGCAAAACTCATTCCATTTCCATTCCCTGCTCCCCTCAATATTACATTACGAAGGCAGAGATAATAATACTGTGTATGTAGGAGCCATAACCTTTTACAAAACAGACCAGGGTAAATGAAGCTGCATGCTATATTAACAGAGCAAACCAAAACGAGAATTCTGTGATGGCTGTCACTTCACCAGTGCACCCTCAAAACTGTAAGCAGGACCTTCAGGCCAAACCAGGCACCTTGACTGTATGACTCTTAAGTTTCATAGAAAGTGCCAACCAACTTGTACCATTCCTTTGAAACTGGGAAATAAAAGGTGGGTGTCCATCTCTCTCTGCTTTGCCCACCAAAGTACTCTGCACAGCAGGAAGCAAGTCCTGGTGGGTGCAGTAGTATCTACTCTAATTCATACTGCAAGGAATATTTTAGACCTGGCTTTCTCTATTGGGTAGGTTGATGGTGACTTGGGTGTGCAGGAGATCTCTGTCGTTAGATTATTATTTGGTGGATAACACAGCTTCTGCAGAGGTGGGAACTGATTAAGATGGTTTCCTGATTGCCTGTTGCCACAGAAGCCAGTTGTGTTGAAGCCTTTGTTATCTTTAGGAAATAGCCAGGGCAGTGGACATATCTGTTCCTGAGCTCCATAGAATGGGGCCAAACTTGCTTATTAGAGAACTGGCAGTGATGAAACAAGCACAAGATGGGGCCAAACTATCACCCTTGCTTATGAGAGAACTGGCAGTGATGAAACAAGCACAACAGAGATTAGAACAACAGTTGTGGAAAAGTTGGAACAAGTTCAACCAAATATAGGATAGAGCGCATACAAAGGCCAACTCTGTGCTGGGGTTGGCAGCAAAGAAATCTTACTCCTTTGATAGCATTACCTCTGTACAGAGTTGCCCAGAATAACTATTTGGAATTGGAAACAGCCTATTACATTCTCTCCCATAGGAGGAGAACATAGATTTGATTGTGAACAATCTGCATGGCACTTTACAGATAAAAGCACTTGGATCCACTCTTGCCATTTCTGACTTATAAAAGCAACATGCTTAACCAGAGGCAACTGATAAAGCATGCAAGGGGGAATGATGAATGTCAAGAGTTCTAAAGTGTCAGAAGGAAGCAACTGAAAAACCATTCTTTTAAAAAGCACTTTCTGAACCCCACCATGGAGCTAACCTCCGATATTCCATTCCTCTGCAAGGTTCTGGAGCATATGGTGGTCTCAACAGATAATCTAGACCAGTGGTGGTGAACCTTTTTGAGCCCAAGTGGCCAAACCGGGGGGGGGGGACAAAACCAAACAGTGGGCAGCGGGCAGAACTGGTGGCAGCGGAAGTGATGGTGGAAGGGGGAATCCTGGGCACAGAGGTGCTTCCAGACCCCACTCCAGATCCGCCTCCTGTCATGCCCAATCCCGCCAGCACCAGCTGCTCTGGACCCTGGCCACCACTGGTTGGGGCACTAGCACTGTGGCTGCAGCCACCTCCTCAGGTTTGTTTGCTGGGGGTAGCGATCTGGTGACATGGCTTGCATGTCTGCAGAGAAGTCTCTGCATGCCAGCTGTGGCATGCGTGCCATAGGTTCGCCATCACTGATCTAGACTCATTTCAGTCTGGCCTGAGGTTTTGTTATGGAATGGTCACAGCTTTGGTTACCTTAATGAGTTTAAAGCAGGAACTGAAGGAGCGAAAGTGTTTGTATTTTAATCAGGTATGAGTAATTATGCATTTTAGTAGTCTTCCAGAAAAAAATTAAGTTCCAATTTATTTCCCACAGGCTTCTAGGAGCTTAATTAAATGCTACTTAAAGAAAAGAAGACTTTGGAAAAACAAGAGGTGGAGGAGGAGGTGGAGGAGGAGAAGGAGAAATTGCCAAATGATTCTGAATACTGCTTTATGACTGTGAATCTTAACTTTTTGTAAAAAGCTTTCAAACAATGATCAAGAAATGGCAACCTCCTTTCCAAAGATCTCATTATACATCTATAAACCTGTGGCATAGCTATTGTATTCTGTGGCCAGAATTCTTTTAGATATTTATACATCTGGAGAGAACTATGGAGTTTACTGTGGATGACTGATGAGATGCCGGTTGCATATCTGTTGTGTGCCTAATCATATGCCAAGATGCAGACTCGGCATCCTGGCATGCACCCAACATCTTGTCAATTACCCATAGCAAATTCTGCAATTCTTCTTGCATGCATGTAAATATCCAGTACAATTTTGGCCTCTGTGTCTGAAAAGTGGATTGCTATCTATGGAAGCTCACACTGAAATACATTTGCTAACAGTTTGTTTTTGTTTTATTGTTGTAGAAACAGGCTATCAAGGCTATCTCTGAAAAAAAACAACAAATATTTGTCTTGTGAGTATGGTATGGCTCTTTGAAGTCCTTGCTCAGAGGTATGTCCTATACAATTACATGAGTTTTTTATTTCTGTAAATGTGCATAGGAGACTGATGTATTCATGTTTATTGGGAAGAAGAGACCGTTAGTGTTATTGTTTTTGGATTGCAACTCCCAGAATCTTCAAGCCAACATGATCAGTGATTATCCTGGCTGAGGGATTTCTGGATGTTACAGTCCAAGAAGCAAATTGGCAGTGACAGCAGTGAAGAAAGTTTTCTTCTATGCCACCATTACATCTGTATAGAGTTGTCTAGTGGAGTTGTTTCAAGTGGTCTGGGATCTAGCGCATGCTCCCACCTCAGAAGAATAAGACGTGGACTCTTCAGTGACCTGTTGTGAAGAATTTGCACAACACTTTGCAATCAAAGTCCTGAAATCTGCTCTGACTTAGCTTCTGCGGTTGAGGCAGGTATTGTGGATGTCAAAGTCCTGAAATCTGCTCTGACTTCTGCGGTTGAGGCAGGTATTGTGGATGTAACTTTGGTCCCGTCTTGTCCAATGAAAATGGATATGTTTAAATCTGTTTAGCCTGAGGATGTGGACAAGATGTTTGGAGAGGTTAAAACTATTACATGTAAGCTGTATCCCTGACATTCCTTGTTTATAAAAACAGCCTGACAGAGACTAGCCAAGTGGGTAAGGGGACTGGTGGATACCTCCTTGCAGCAAAGAAGGGTGCCAACATGCCTGAAGGAGGCAGTAGTAAGACGTTATTGAAGAAGCCCACCTTGAATCCCAGTATGCTGGACAGCTATCAGCCAATCTCAAATATTCAATTTTTGGACAAGGTATTGAAGTATGTGATGAAATCAAATTTAAACTCCAAGAATTACGTAGATTACCTAGGAATTTGTTTTTAATTTTACCTATATTTCATATACATCCATAATTTTAAATTGTGCAACATTTTGATAAGAATAAATAAACAAATAATATATTGTTTTGTTATCATCAATACTCTGAAAACATAGGGAGAAATGTCTGGGATATTTTGGTACTACCATCCGAATGAATAAAATTCAGATCTAAATGTGAATTGGCCTTGATAGGCTTTTTAAATTATACAGTTTGCTTGCTGTCTCCACTTCTCAATCATTCAGCTTACTCAGATCAATGTCTTCACACTGTAAGATGTAGCCTCTCATTGCCCCCTAGTCTCTTCTATCTCTGATTACTCCACTCCTGGTGATTGCAGTCCTGTATCCATTTTGTTCCCCAAGAGTCCATCTAATTGCTCCTGATTTTTTTACTCTTACTGAAGATATCCAAGATTTTCTCCCTGCCAGAATTGCTATTTTTCATATTTGAAAATGTCTGACGCTGATCACCTTTCCTTTCGCCTTTCAGAAAGTGGGGATTTAATTGATTTTATCACTAGTTTCTTTATTATTTCAGATATGGAAAAGGACTGATTGCTAACCCTGTTCATTTTTAGGGGGGATTAGCCTTTTATTTTTTCCAGGAGCACCTCAGTGTTAGGATCTGGATCCTTGTCCACACTACACATGTTCTCTGGCCTTTCTTCCTCTGTAATGATGACCAAGGCATTTTCTTAGGACTGCAAATTCATAAAACCTCCCCAGTTTGAAACCTTTAGAGTCTAGACCCAAGTGCAGAATTTCATTTGCAGTCAAAGCTCCCGATGCTTATAAGTTTGCAATGTGATTCAGGTGAAAAGGAAAAATGATTTTGAAAAATGTGCAGATTTGGAAAATTCATATGAAAAAAATGTGTACACTTGAAAAATGCACACAGACATTCTTTAATGACTGGGAAAAATTCATACATGTCAAATGTGCAAAAAATGCATACATTTTGAAAAAATATATAACAGAAATACATAAAATTACTATATGTGTCCTTCATCCACTTAATCCCTGTACTCTGACAGAGGGCTAAATCAGAATGAGATTGAAGATGGAAATTGGAGACCTTCAACAAGCACAAAGCATTTCAGATCCAAACATCCCTAATAATTGATTAATTTGGTTACTACAGTGATTCCCAACCCTGGGGTATTGAGGGTATGAACCAGGACATTTAGGGGAAAGAAAAAAAAAAAAAAGTCAACAGTGTAAAACAAGATGCAAGTCAAAAGTTGTGAAATTAATTGAAAGTTATGGCAAGTGGCGGAGTGGGTTCTCTCCATTATTTAGCTTCAAGAAAAGCCCTGTTCCCTCACTTTGTCATTGTTCGACTCTAGGGGCCCGCGCTCATCCCCGTTTCCAAGCCATAGAGCCAGCGTTTTGTCCGAAGACAATCTTCCGTGGTCACATGGCCAGTGCGACTTTATCTTTAGGGACTCTCTTCTTAAACAACGTTAAACATACATGCTCAGCGGCACGCCACTCACAGGCTCAGCTTTCACTC